TAAACAGATTTGTTTATCATATACAGTTTGCTTGTATAAGTTAGAATTTCAGTAGTTATTGAGACGTTTGATCTCATCCCTTATATTAACATTTTTCAGGTGAAGGACCTAGTAGAAATTAAGGGAAGACACCGATAGAGTAAGCCGTGAAGGCTTATGTACTCTTCGAGCACCTACTATGTTATATTTTTAATTACCATGGCTATGACTTTAATGGTTTATTTTGTTGTGTTTGAAAAATATTTTGAAATAATGACCTGTATAGTGTATTAGAAATATGGATGGATTTTTAAATATATTTTATCACGTATATAGATATAATTACGTGAGGTGAGGTGTTACACGAAACAGTGATGCAACGCGGCAACACCACCGACACACGAGTTTCCCAGGAGTTGGAATGACAATCTCTGAAACCCAGAGACAAATACACGTTAGCGAGACATTTGGTGATCGCTGAATCTGAAGAGCTTGCTTAATTTCAAGAGAAAACAAGTCTGCAAGTTCTGAAGCTGCCATTTTTGAGGCCTTGGTTTGTGAGAGCTCTTTCTTACGTTTCCCTCCACATCCATCCAGGTTCGTTTCTTCTCTTTTACTTCCTTTATCCCATGGATCCATCACTCCATCTACTGTTTTGCAAGCTTTTTTCCTGGAATTTTCATAGAAAATTCTGCATTAGATTTGCTGTTTTCTTCTCCTTGTGCCAGCTGTTGATTATATTCAATGTCCTCCATAGCTACCTTACGGTCATAGATCTAATAAAACTTCAACATTTTGGAATTTTTTTAATACTTCTGAGAAACAAAATCCCAAAAACTTCTAAGATATGGGTGGACTTGATCTATTGACCAAAGTCTTAGTTTATTTTATTCTCTTTTTTTTAATGAAGGAAACGGTTGATTTATTTCTCATACTACTTCTACTTCTTAATATAAGATTAAGATTAAAAAAATTACTAAATTATTTATATTTATCATTTATCTTCTAATTAATTTGTTTTACTAAGTAATCTTCTCAATTTCTCAGATTTGTCAGCTAGTTTTTATAATTAAGTATTATAAAAGCAAAGCGCTTGTTCTTTTTTCATCTTAGTGCTTGTTTGGATCAGCGATTGAGGCTCTAAAAACTACTAAATTTTTTGATAAACTCGTTTGAAAAGTTGGAGGGTGTTTGGCAAAGCTTATAAGTCATCTGACTTGGATCCAAAAAGCTGGATTGAAACGGACTTTTACATAAGCTTATATTTGTAGCTTATGGGAGTCAAATCGGGCTTACCGTTGGAATTGAATATGTAAGTGGGCTCCATCGGAAGGCATGCGGTCTCATGAGTGGTTGACTGTTCTTCAGAATTAGGCCCACCATCCAATTCTGACCTGTCCTCTTCGTTCATTCCCCTCTATCAACTAATTGTTATTTGAGTACCATTGGGGTAACTGTTGTTCTTTTTCTTCTTTTTTTTTTAATTTGATTTTTTGAATTAATTAAAAATTTAGAATTAAGCAGTAAATTGAAATATAAATTGTTTAAATATAATAATCCAAAGAGTTCAAGTTATGAAAAATAGTAGTAAGAATTTACTCTTCTTCGATATGAATAAAATTTTTTCATTTTTTATATTTTATTTGTTGAAAATTAATATACTTTAAATTATGAAAAATGTATGATATTCGTATTCTATAATACGTACAATTCTTATAAGTTGGTTTGTAAATTTTATTTAACAAAAGTGTATTTTTAAAAAATTGCCTTTTTGAGGTATCTCACATATAAAAATTTCTCTTGGTAAAAAAAAACTATTTTAAAAAACATTACTTGGTTGATGCGAAATATCCAACACCAAATGGATGTCTAGGTCCAATACCAAATTAATTTTAATTCATTATATTATGTAAAATCATTTTTTAATCACTTTCATTACTTATTAAAATTCATACCTATTTTGGTAATTTTATAAACAAACTTACTTTCACTCAATCATAATCTAAATAACTTTTTACCAATCTCATTTTTGCAAATTAATTTTTCTGAACTCCAATCTAAACATAATTCAGCTTATCTAGTTTAGCTTTTACCCACACTACAAAAAAACACCTAATTACCGACGGAATTAGTGACGGAATAATTTCCGTCGCTAATTTCTGACGGATTACCCACGAAAATTCCGTCGCTAAACTTAGCCACGGAATTAGCGACGGAATACAATCCGTCGCTAATTAGCCACGGAATTAGCCACGGAATTTTTTCCGTCAGAAAATTCCGTGGCTAATTCCGTGGTTAAATTTTTATAATTAAAATTAGCCACGGAATTAGCCACGGAATTATTCCGTCAGAAAATTCCGTGGCTAATTCCGTGGCTAAAGTTTTATAATTACGATTTGCGACGGAATACTTTTCCGTGGCTAATTTAGCCACGGAATTAGCGACGGAAAATTATTCCGTCGCTAATTTCCGTGGCTAATTCCGTGGCTAAAATATAATATATAATATAATATAATAAATATATAATTAAATTCTATATCTTATAAATATTAAATAAAAGAATTAAATTTAAAAAATATATTTATGAAAAAATTATTTATTATTTAAAATTCAAAATTAGTGTCATTGGAAATTAATATTATATTTAAAATAATTTTTTTTAAAAAATAAAGCATATAAAATAAATAGTAAAACAAATATCTAAAATTATTTTGTTACAAAATAGTTATAATTAAAATTATATAGTTTATTTTTAGTTTCTAATAATATATATGTGTATAAATAATTATTTGTGTAAGACAATATTATATATATATATATATATTTAATTTTGTATAATAAGTCAGTAAGTTCATTGCAGCTCAACTGGTGAAGTCGCGTGCGTGCACAAGCAAGGTCTTTGGTTCGAGCCGTGGAGAAGTCACTTTAAAGAGGAATTATATGGTGACGACATGTGGCAATACAAGATGGCATGTGAGATAGCAACACGTGGCGGCAGAGGTGAGGTGGCAGGGACACGTGGCGGTGGAGCTGAGGTGGCAGCGACATGTGGAGATGAGATGGCAACGACACGTGGAGGCGAAGGTGAGGTGGCACTGACACGTGGAGGAGGAGGTGAGGTGGCACTGACACGTGGAGATGAGGTGGTGACATGTGGCGGCCAAGGTGAGTGGCATTTTAATTTTTTTTAAATATTAGCGACGGAATCAGAACTTGTTATTTTTAAATGTATTGTTGTTATCACTTGAAACAAAGTGTATTGTTATAAAAAAAAAACGTGTTGTTAAATTTTAATCCCAAACTTGTTATTTTAAAATCAGAACTTGTTATTTTTAAATGTATTGTTGTTATTACCTGCAACAAATTTATTGTTATAAAAAAAACATATTGTTAAATTTTTATTCCAGACGTGTTATTTTACAATCAGAACTTGTTATTTCCAAATGTATTGTTGTTATCACCTGGAACAAGAGTAAATGAGTTAACTTATATTTTTTTTTGCATCATAATGTTAACAAAAATTTGTTGGCTCAATGGTCATTCCTTATTTTGGGAAGCATTAGGTTGGGGATCAAATCCCCCCAACCTCACTTCCCCCACTATTTAAAAAAAAAAGTTGCAAAAAAAAAAACAAAGGAAGGCCGCTGGAAGCGGCCGCCGGCGCTGGAGCTCCGGCGGCCGGAAGCAGCAGCCGGCGCTGGAGCTCCGGCGGCCGGAAGCAGCAGCCGGCGCTGGAGCTCCGGCGGCCGGAAGCAGCAGCCGGCGCTGGAGCTCCGGCGGCCGGAAGCAGCAGCCGGCGCTGGAGCTCCGGCGGCCGGAAGCAGCAGCCGGAGCTCTGGCGCCGGTGGCCGGATTCCGGTGAAGCAGTGGCTTTCTTTTAAAAAAAAAAAATTAAAGAGGGGTATTTTGGTAATTTGACCATGATTTCATAATTACAATTTGAGACCGGGTCCCTCATGGTAATTTGGCATATTCAAGTGACCATAGAGTGATTTTGCTAATTCGAGGGTCTTTATTTGTGATTTCCCCTTTTTTATATTTTATTTGTTGAAAATTAATATACTTTAAATTATGAAAAATGTATGATATTCGTATTCTATAATACGTACAATTCTTATAAGTTGGTTTGTAAATTTTATTTAACAAAAGTGTATTTTTAAAAAATTGCCTTTTTATGAGGTATCTCACATATAAAATTTCTCTTGGTAAAAAAAAATCTATTTTAAAAAAATTACTTGGTTGATGCGAAATATCCAACACCAAATGGATATCTAGGTCCAATACCAAATTAATTTTAATTCATTATATTATGTAAAATCATTTTTTAATCACTTTCATTACTTATTAAAACTCATACCTTTTTGGTAATTTTATAAACAAACTTACTTTCACTCAATCATAATCCAAATAACTTTTTACCAATCTCATTTTTGCAAACTAATTTTTTTGAACTCCAATCTAACATAATTCAGCTTATCTAGTTTAGCATTTACCCAACTTTACTTTTTCTATAAGCCAAATTGATAATAAGCTACTTTTTCAATCACTAATACAAATGGACCCTTAGTCACTCCCCATTTCGTTGTTATGCGTAAATAAGGCATCGATCTAAACCAACAGGGCTTATTCTCTTTTTTTCATAATCCACTTGCTTTTAGCACTATTTTCCCTAGTATCTGTGTTAATACTAGAAAACTTCATAATACTGAATTATTAATTATTCATTAAATTTGTTTGAAGAATTTGATTGAAGAGGAGATGTCTGCAAATTAAGCTCAAAACTGATATGTTTTAGACCTTGTGAGCAAATTAAGCTGACATCCGCCAGGTTATACTATCCATTAATTCTTTTCTTTTTCTCTTCCACTTGCTTCATCCCATTAAAATGTACTGTTTTGCAAGCATTTCCCGAAAATTTTCAAGGTTTTCTTCTCACAGGACACATGTTTTGCAAAAAATTTTAATTTCTTCTTTCCTCTAGGGTTGATAATCTCGTCCCTAGCTACGTTGCTTACTGAAGGATGAAGCTAGAAACGGCTATCACAACCATTGCTCCAGTGTTCCAAAAAGTTTTATTGATCGTATTGGGAGTATTAATTTCCAAAGCTATCAAACTCATCTCTCATTGGCGTAATGGTAACCAACCTGCTGCTATTGATGCTAGGTAGCTAGCTTCTTCTAAATAACCTCACACTATTTTCTTGTTTGATTTGCTCCTACATATAACGCAATATCTGTTCACTGTTTGTTTCTTTCTGTAGTTCTGAAGATGATGTTGTTTTGACTCATACGGATTCTCCTCCAGCTACCAAGTATGATGTGTTTCTTAGCTTTAGAGGAGAAGACACTCGCCACAATTTTGGAAGTTATCTTTACAAAGGACTTCAAAATGCAGCATTCACACTTTTATGGATCACAAACTCTGCAAAGGAGAATTGATCTCACCAGTTCTTCTAAAACAATAGAGGAATCATAAATATCTGTGATTGTTTTCTCTGAGAATTATGCTTCTTCAACTTGGTGTCTGGATGAGCTTGTTCACATATTAAATGCAAGCGTAAATTTGGAAGGGTTGTGATACCTGTTTTCTATAACGTAGATCCTTCAAGCATACGCAAACAAAATGGGAATTTTGGAAAAGGATTTGATATACTGAAGCAAAGATTTAAAGACAACCAACAAAAATTGCAAAAGTGGAGAAATGTTATAATCCAATCTACAAGTCTATCTGGATGGGATTCCAATGTTATCAGGTAGCTTCTTAAATTCTCCATTTGTTGTTGGTTTTGGGGATTTATTCAATGAATCTCTAGGATTCAAACAAATTATTGGTTTTTTTTTATTCTTTTCATTTTCTTTCTATTAAATGTTCCTTTTCTTTTGATTGACATTTATGCTAGACCTGAATTCAAACTTGTTGAAGAGATTGTCAAGGACATTTTGAGCAAATTGAATCGCAAGTCATCCATTTATGTGGAAGGATTAGTTGGAATCGATCATCAAATTCGGAGAGTTGAAGAGCTAATAAGTGAAGCTCGCATTGTGGGAATATGGGGTATGGGTGGTATAGGCAAGACCACTCTCGCTAGAGCCGTATTTGACAAGTTGAAAGCACACTTTGAAGCTTTCTGCTTCATTAAAAATGTCAGACAAAAGCTAGCAGAAAGAAATGGATTGGATGAATTGCAAGAAAAATGCCTTAAAGAATTGTTAAAAGATGATGATATTAACGCTTACGATTTAAGATCTGATTTTGTGAGAAAAAGGCTTCAGTGTAAGAAAATTCTTCTAATACTTGATGATGTGGACAATTCTATAGCAATTGAAGATTTAAAGAAAGCATGCGATTGGTTTGGGGAAGGAAGTAGAGTTATTATCACATCAAGAGATAGGCATGTGCTTGAGGATGATTCTGTCTCTGCAAGTGCAACATATCATGTTCTGAAATTGGATCCCCATCATGCCCTTCATCTCTTTAGTTTGAATGCTTTCAACCAAAATGAGCCATTGAAATGCTATTTGGAGTTATCGAAGTGGGTAGTGGATTATTGTCAAGGAAATCCATTAGCTCTAAAAGTACTGGGTCGCTTTCTTCATGGCAGAGGCAAAGAAGAGTGGGAAAGTGCTTTGGCGAAACTAAATCAAACTCCTCACAATGACATTTTTAATGTGCTAAAATTGAGTTTTGATGGACTTGATGACATACAGAAGAATGCATTTCTTGATCTTGCATTTTTGTTGAACGCAGGATGGAGGATTTCTCAGGACTATGCAAGACACTTATATGGTTCTATTGCAAATATTGAGATAAATATACTTGAAGAGAGATCCCTCATCTCAGTGGATGATGGTATTGAGATGCATGCTCTACTAATCGATATGGGTCTTGAAATTTCTAAACAACAATTAAAATCTAATCCTGACAATCCCATTCGGCTGTGGAGGCATGAGGATATTTATCGTTATTTTTCCAACAATGACAAGGTAATAATTTATGTTTTTAGATTTTATTATATTATTTGTTCCCTTAATGGTTCATTTCGTTGTCATTTATTTTTCTAAAAGTTATTTGTTTATTCATCAAAATTTTCAGTTAATCTCAATGTTTGCCAAATCAACTTTTTTTTCCCCAATAAAAGAAGTCCTTTGTTTGACTAAAATTGGCTGCGGTCATGGTCTTTCCTAAAGTTTTGAGATAGAATATGACTAGCATGATATAAGGCGCTTTTTTAAAAAAATTTAGATAATGAGATCTTCAATAAATTATAAAATTATCCACAAAGGTTGACCTTTTTTCATATTAATTGATATCTGATGTAGTATAAAAGTGAATGTGTGTATTCTCACACACTGCACATGCATATTCTCACCCTCACGCGTTTTCTTATAAAAATTTAATATTGCAAAAAAGTACTTATCATGAAATCTGAACAGAAAAATAAATTTTTAGAAATTTTATAGATGCCGGGGTTTTTATATACACTAGTTTTTCTTTAATACGAAGGGTTAATATAACTTTGGTCCCTTAAATTTACATGACTTTTGTTTTTAATCTCTTTAGTTTCATACCATGAGTTGAACAAAATGGTTTAGGTTTTTATTAAATTATAAGAATCAATATCTTTTTTGGTAAAGAATAATCAATATTTTATATGAAAATAAACTTGAGAAACCAAAATCTATAGTTTAAAACTTGAGAGATCAAAAATTAGATTAACCTTTCTATGAAATGAAATGTAAGTCTGCCCGTATCATTGTCCCCCCCATCCTGCGTGTGTATCTGTTTTGTCCGATTTATTTTGCAAGATGAAATGAATTGTTTGAATAAAGTGCACAAAAGCATATTCATTTAGAAATTCCTTAAAAAAATATTTAATTGTTCTATTTATTATTTGATTACCTTTTACATATTACTGATTTTTTCCCACAATTTGATCAGTAGGCGGCTGAGCAATTCAATGCTCATCATTAGACATGAAGAAGATAAACAGGATTGCAATAACAATTAGTAATGTTTAAAAGAATTATAATTTAAAATTAGCTAGGACTTTCGTGATGTCTTATTTTAAAAGACAAAATTAGTGTACAAAGAATTTTCATTAAGTGCTACATGCATACGCATGTGTGAGCATAACTTACTATTATTTGAAGTACAACGGGAAAATAAAAAACAAATAATTTTTTGCTTTTATGATTATATTCTAAATATCTGCACATGCATACAGGTATATGCATCAGTGTGTCTGCTTATTTATGATTGTTGAGAAATTCATATATTACGGGAAAAACATGAATTGTAAGGAATTTTCAATAAAATGGATATAGCGGTGTTAATTTGGATAAAAGTTGATATATTTAATTGTTTTATGGTATTTATGGTCTTTTGTTAGGTAATGATAATTGTGTTTCCCTCGATTTAATATTATTACCAGGGGATTGAGGCAATTCGATGCATGTCATTGGATGCAAGCCAAATAGAAAGCATGACATTGAGGGCTAGTCATTTTCAAAGGATGCGTTATTTAATGTTCCTTAATGTTTACAAGTCTGATCAGAGAAATCCTTCAAAGTTGAATATTTGTGAAGAGTTGGATTATCTTTCAAAAGAATTAAGGTTTCTTAGTTGGCAAGAATATCCACTGCCATCTGTGCCATTACAATTTTGTGCTAAGAATCTCATTGAACTTAACATGCCTCGTAGTAATATCCAACAGCTTTGGGATGGAAATCAGGTATGTACGCATTGTTTTTTCAATGTATGTCATAATGTTTTTGTTGGTGTATGTGATTCTAAGACGTGGCATCAAACATTGACTAAAATAATTCACAATGTAAATGTTTAATTGTTTTTGTGTTGAGAATCTTATTGAACTTAATTTGCCAAAGAGTAATATCTATCAGCTTTGGGATGAAGATCAGGCACGTATAGTTTCTCATATGTCATAATTGTTTGTTCTTGTGATTCTAAGAAACATTGACTAAAATAATTCAAAATGAAAATGTTTACTCTATTACTATCTTTCAATTGATGGTTGAGTAGTAATTGTACAATTTGGGGGAGTCGAATTGTTGTTGTAATGGGCATGAGAAAAATTCTTGATTAAATTGTACGCATGTGGAGTTATCTAATTTATTTAACAGTACTGCTTTGTTTTTTTCAGCAATTTCCAAATCTAAAGAAAATATATCTATGGAATTCAAAAAATCTCATGGCACTCCCAGATTTGTCTCAAGCCCCGAAGATTGAGTGGATGAGTCTTGGTGGTTGTGTGAATTTAGATCAAATCCATTCTTCAACTGTCTTGGAAAAGGATGTCAATTTATTTATAAAAGATTGTGGGCCAATGCAGATAAATATTGGGGGCAGTGTGAAAAGGAGAAGTTCATCAAGGTTAGTGATTGTGTACAATTATTTGGATGTTTCCAATTTGACATTCAATAAAGTGACAATGAAGGTGTTGGTATGTGGCAAAATGATGTGTGGTGTTGGATTTAAGCATGTGAGAATGCCACTGGGAGAGACGGCAGAATTCATGAGAGTGGGAATACAAAGTTTGGCGACTTTACTTCCATTTGTGAGGGTAGTTGAATGGTTAGAGAGTCCAATTGAGTTTGGGCATGATTTCAAGCAACATCATACCTATCATGTTTGTCGTGCATACACTGGTCTTTCAAGCTGGAATGACTTCAGGCTTTCTGTAAAGGTGAGGGGTGATGGAGAAGAGAGGGGTGTGGAAGATGATGAAGAAGAGGATGAGGATGACACAAAATGATTAGTGAGAGTGAAAGAGAAATAAGTAGTAAAGGTAATCAAGTAGCAGAGACAACATTATTATTAAAGGAAGATGAACAAGAAGGGGCCGATGAGGATTATAGTAAGATGGACAATGCATTATTAACAACACTACTTATTCCTAACAGCATCCCTCGCTGGTCATTGTTGGTTCGACTGACATTAAAAGAGAGTGATATATTATTGGGAATAATAATACAGGTTGTAGCATCATCCCTCAAGCTTCAATAATCCTCAAATCACTCAATGAAGATTGCAGAAGGAGGATTCAGCCTCTCTTGGCAGTACAACTCTCTTCCCCAGTATCCCCTTTACCTCGTCATTCTTTCACAGTCCGTTATAACTACTTGGAGAGTACGCCACACGATCCTTCTTTTCTTTATTTCAGCAGTACATACTGGTCAAGTAATTATTTTGATAGTCATGGCTTAGTTGTTCACTTTTTGAAGGACCATTGATGATATTAATTATCATTTAAATTTTTCAGGTCATAAAATTATTATTTGAATCAGCCTCAGTTATTTTCTTATTACATATTAATATTATGTTTTTATGAAATACCAATTTTTCTGTTTTTTTAATATGTAATTCATGTACAGAGGCCTCCTCACAACTTTAGAACATAAAAATTGTTAATCTTATCTTGGCTTCACAATAACTACACCTGTTTGTGTGTGTTACTCTTCATGTGATTTGAGTATAATAACTAGCATGACAAACAATTTCCTTACTAAGCAATTTTATTATAAGAAAGTAGAATGATTACTTTTGAATTAACTCAACTTGTAAATGTTAAAATGTTATAATATTTAAAATTGTAAACTACGTTAAAATAAAATATATTTGTTTGATCGGCCGCCAGTCAATCATTCCAAGTTGATCAACGTGGTTAATTGGCACTGTGGTCATTTACACTTTCTTTCAAAAAAAAAATCTATTTATACTTGGTTTCTCACTTGAGATCTAGTGGTAATTTTCCCTTCCCATTATGTGACATCAAAGATATATATATATATATATATATTTTTGAAGTGTGATTTTTCGAGCGCTTCCTCACAACTTTAGAAAATACTCTAGAAATTATTAATGTTATTGTTTCTTTTCAATAATTAATAATTATTCAATCGTTCGTTACTTTATGCTCGTGTACATTGCATAACTTATTTATAAATAGGTGGAGAAATAATTTTTTATTGCGAAGCAATTTCCTTGGGATTATTCACTATTTACCATAAATAGAGTATCCTCTAACTTGTACTTCAAAAATATGTACAGTCTACTTGCATAAAATAGATTTTACTAAATTAAATTATAATAGAACGTATTACCATAACTCATATTTTATTACAATAAATTGTTCATTTCATGAAACGTCATTATTTTTTTCACAGCAAAAACCACGTCTTTATTCATTAACTTTGTTTGGTTGAATGATAATGGGAGAGTGAAAAATTTAATAAGTTTGATTTTTTGTGAAAATGAAGTAAGGTTAAAAGATTTTAATTAATTTTTCTTATCTCTTACTTTTATAACTTCTCTCGGTTAATGGAGGCACAATAATACCTATCATTTTCGACAATGACAAAGTAATATTTTCTTTAAAAATTATTCTATATTTTATGCTCTTAATTTTTGGTTATTCGTTAAAATTTTCAGTTATATGTTAACTTGAAGTGCCTCAGTTTTATTTGTTTGCATGTTGAAAATTTTTTTCGATAGACTCAACTTTAAAAAAAATCCTTTCTTTAAATATGACTAAAATTGCTTGGGGCATGTATTTATGTTAGGTATGATTTATTAATCAGCTTTGAAATAGTTATTTTAGAAATGTGGTGCAAGTAGCACTAAGACTAGCAGTTAATTAACAAAAGTTCCTGTTCACATTGATTTTACTTACACGGTTGATCAATCTTTCCAAGTTCATGACACGGGTAATAACACCAGTCTTTTCACTAAATTATTGAATTTATCCTAGTTGCATATAGATTTAACCAAAAAAAAGTATAACATATATGCTTAGTCCTTTAAATCTGCGTCAAATTTTTAGTTTAATCTTAAATTTAAGATGTTAAAATTAAGAAACTAAAAATACACTTTAAAACCCTAAAAATTAAAATGAAATTTGATGTAAACTTAAAGTAACAAGCATGTAAAAAGGGGGAGATAATCACTTGCTATTAATATTAATGTATGCATCTTAAATAAGATTTATCTAAGTCACTGCATCATTCCACATAATGGAATTGCTATTCAGTATGAATGTAATGGATAACTACGCCTCAGTTGGATAGATTGCTTATGGAAATATATGCTGTCCACGAAAGATAAGTACATTAAGAATAGAGAAGATTTGAAACTAAAACCTTCTATAAACTACCAATCCTCACCACTACACTAAATTGTTGCCTTTCGAAGAGAAAAATAAAATTCCTCAATAAATAATATAATATTGGTTAAATGAGTACAAATAATATGACAAGTTACTGTACAAACTTGATGTCATTATCTGTTTTCCAAGTGTATGATTATGCTATCCCAACAGATGATCTCTGTGACTTTAATCCAAACAAATCTTCAAAAAGTTTAGGAACCATAGGTGGAAGATTCATGGACTCAGGAGCCATGAAGTTTACAATATTTTCATGAACATTATACCCTCAATGCCACATCGCACAATATAAATCGCAAATTAGTCAAAAATCTCTTTTTCAGTTTTGGAGAATTTAGCAGTATGTATGTATATACACGTGACAAAAAGTAATGGTACAAAACAAGGAAATGCCATCTTCATCAACTAACCTTATCTTGCGACCTTTTTGAGGCCCGACGATCAACAATTTTCCTTTTCTTTGGTTGCATCTTCTTCAAGGCATAAAGTGCTTTCTCTGTATGATTCACAATAGCAGAAAATAAGAAAGTGGCTTCTGCTGCTGCATGGTATAAGGTTAACACTATGATTTCTAGGAAAGCAGCTCATGCTAATTCTAGGCTCAAAAAATTTGATCAAAACTATTTAGATAGGGGGGGAAAATCACTACTAATTCTACAATCTTTCTAGGAAACCTTTCATGCTAAATATCAAGTATCATTCGGTCATAATTGCCAAAATACATTATAAGTTAAACAAAAGAGGATGTCTTGACTAGTCTAATATTCCAATGACATCATCAGGA